AGAGAGGCGTTATAGGCGTTATAGAGGCGTTATAGAGAGGCGTTATAGGCGTTATAGAGAGGCGTTATAGAAGCGTTATAGATAGGCGTTATAGGCGTTATAGACAGGCGTTATAGGCGTTATAGGCGTTAAAGAGGCGTTATAGAGAGACGTTATAGTGACGGAATTCAAACAGCCATTACGTACGTGGATAAGTTCTAGAATTCTAACAGTAACTACGCAGAGGTAGGATCTGGCATTCCAGTGGCTGACTAATTGAGTAGCTATTCGAATTCAAAAACTAGGGAGTTTCTATGTGTATGTTCGCAAGAATTCTTTAACGGCGGCAGGTTTTAGAATACCATAACACACTCTCGCGATGCGATATTTACCCACTATATAATAATTTCATCTAAATGACATTCAATTTATATAATGAACAAATATTTCGCGGACCTTCATCAATTTGCATTGTGGAGCTTTTCCCGGGATATTACGGGCGGTAATGCCGCGCGCTGGCGGTGCCTGCAGCAGCTAGTGTAAATATGAACACTGGCCGGCGGGCACTCGATCGTGCTCAAAGCACGTTCGGTAATTGTCTAAACCAGCTGCATAATGAGGATAGAACGCGTGCGTCTGTCACACAAAGACATGTGCGTCGCCAATCAAAACGAAGCATCCCGTCTGAATGATGTGATGTGTGTGGTCGAGTGACGACGACGACGGCGACGACAACGATGATGATGATAATTGATGATAATGATGATGATAATGATGATGATGATGATGATGATGATGACGATGATGATGATGATGATGGTAAATGATAGACAAATAGACAATAATGATAGACAACGGTGTTCTAGCGGCATTTCACCACACAACATGTTAATATTACACGGCGTGTTTTCTTCGCACCCTTTTCTCCGCGAAAAACTCGCCTCGATCAGCATGAGCATTCTTGACTCTCAAGCGCCACTAACCTATATATTTAAGCAGCGAACACACTTATGGAATTATACAGCATCGGGCGCGCATCCTAGCAGGCGCCCCCACTCCGCAACCTTCCTGTAGGTGGCGCGCCAGGTCAACACAGGTCGATTCTACTATAGATTGCTCTCGTCCCGTTAAAAGCGATTGAAAGTCGTCTGCTCTCACGTGCGGCGGCTGATCGGCTCTGCATCGCCTTCTGATCAACAGCCTGCTGTCGGCTGTCTACAGTCAGCTGACATTTATCTTCCGTAATCGCTCCGGCGTGACGACGTCGGAGATAGTTGTTTACCCACTGTTCCCTGCACGCAGAGACGACTAATACCTTCGTGTTCGGTTCGTCGGCAGCGGATGTGAGAATGAATGATCGGTGCGATCAAACACCATACCGTGATATATACGTGTCACGCGGTCACACACCGTACCACGATATATACACGCTGTCACACACCGTACCGTAATATATATACACGCGATCACGTTAACACCGTACCACGATATCATACATGTACGCGATGCACACACCGTCAGTGATAATATATACGCGATCCAGCGACACGCGTACCACGATATATACACGGAGAGGGTATAGTAACGAAATACACCGATTTTCAGTTCGCGCTACCGTGATATAATACAGGATCACACACCGGTACCACGATATATACACGCCGCAATCACACACACCGTAACACGATAATATACACGGCTGTCAACACCGTACCACGATATATATCCGCGATCACACAAGGCGTACCACGAGATATATAACGCTGTCACATCACCGCACGTGATATTATACACCGATAAACACGGCGTACCACGATAATATCATCGGGATCCCGGCAAAAAATCCACAACGCTGTAGCCACGATACCTACACACGCTGTCAACCACCTGTAACCGTAATATATGTATATATACACGTCGATCACACACCATAACCGTGATATAATACACGTCGCTCACACACACCGTACCCGTGATATATCACGCGATCACACATCCCCGTACGCGGTGATAATATACACGCGATGCACAGAATATCACCGTACCGTAGAATATCTACAACGCGGATCACACACGTACCCCACGATATATACGACGCGATCACACACCGTATACGTCTCGTGGGAGTGATATATTAGCGATCACAACACGCGTACCGTGATATATAACGCGATACACACCGTGAATCACGATCATATAACGTGATCACACACCAGTGAGAGATAAGTATCACTTGATATATACACGGGGATCACACACGTACCGTGAATATACCCGCGGATCACACACGTAACGATATTATACACGCTGTCACCACCGTACGGTGATATAATAAACAACGAATCACACACCGTACCACGATAATACATCACGCGATCCAAAACACCAGTACCGTGATATAACGCGATCACACATATCCCGTACCACGAAGTATATACACGTCCCGATCGATCACACAGCCGTACTGTTAGATATATACACGCGATCTTAACAACAGGTGCCGTGAATATATAAAACGCAGATACACACGTACACGATATATACACGGCGAATCAAGAGCAGTGCGTACCACGGTATTATACACAGACGATCCTTCCTGGCCCCGTACCACGATATTAACGTCGATCACAACGTAGACCGTGATATATACACGCGATCAACACACGCGGTAACCGTGATAATATTACCACGCGAATCTACACCGTAACGATTTACACAGCGATTAACACACCCGGTACCGGGTGGATATTATATCACGCGATTCACACACGCTGTATTATCCACGGATATATATATGTATCGCGATCAATTTTGTCTGTACCACCGGTACACGGTATAGAACGCGATACAACGGTACAGGATCTCAACGGAATATACACGCGATCACACCACCGTAGTGATTATACAGCGAATCAGCTATCACCGGATCTGGGAATATTACCTGCAGATAAAGCATATCCGTACCTACGATTATATATACACGCGTATCACAATAAGATGCCGTACAGTGATATTATACACGCGATCACACACCCGTATACCAACGATATATACACGTGATCACCACTAACAAACGCAACCGTGATGATACCGCATCACACACCGTACCACGATATATACACGCGATCAGCACCCCATCCGGACCGTGATTATATAAACAGCGGTCGATCTACACTACCGTACCACTGATATATAGACGCGAGTCACACACCGTACAGTGACAATATATACATGGACACAATCCTCCGCGTGATATTATTACAACCGATCCACACACCGTACCACGATAATATACACGGATACACATTCGTCACGAATAGTACACACTGCTGTCACACACGTTACCGTGATATATTACATCGAGATCACACGAACCGTAAGCGTGATATGACGCGATCACACACCGTACAAATCGATATAATACACGGCGATCACATAATCACGCGTACCGATGATATACACTGCGATCAACGGCACGTCGCGTGATATAATATCCACGATCACACACCGGGCGTCGGATATGATATACATCGCGATCACTAGCACGTCGTTGAATATACACGCGGATCACGATCATAGAAAAAATGGGCTAACCGTACCAACGATATATTACTCTGCGAACCACGACCACCGTACCGTGGGATAATATACACGTCGATGCTGATCACAATCACCCGTACCACGATATATTACTCCGGACCAAACACACCGTACCCGTGATCATCACGCGATTCCACTACATCGTACCACGATATATACCGCTAATGGAGGGTCGATTACGACATCAAGGTACCACGATATATACACGCGATCACACACCGCACCGCAGTGACTCAGCATTGTCCGTCAGAGACAGAAAAAAATCAATGAAATTCGTAAAACTTACGAAATACTCGCGGAGAAAATATTTTAGCACTAACTTTATCAAGTAATAATTCACTAAAAACACCAGCAGACGAAATTCGCCGTGCATTATATAGGCATGCTGAAAATAGATATTCTCAGACATCGCCATTATAGATAAGCCGAGAAAGACATTTCGCGCGCAACCGCGAATAATCACGACGAACTAAATTCTCCCGCAAAACATTCTATGTGACGGAAAACTGCAGCGACGTGGGAAGATGTTATAGTAGATGATGTAGACTGAGGAAGCCAGCTATAGGCTCGTGCCAATACTAGAGCGAGCGATGCGCCTCTTCTAACGGCTATATCGCCGTGCGTGCATGCAGGAGGCAGCATCACAGTAAGCTGCGTCGACGTAGACGTACAGGTTACGTGATGCCAACAGATAGCGGCCAGAATTGCTGAAAGCTCTCGCCGTTTATATGACTATATTAGCGGTTAGGCGGCTCGCTGGCTGTCAGGCGGTGTCAGCATTACGGCAGGCAACGCGTTGTTAAACAGGGAATAATGCATGCCGCTGCGAATTCTACCCTCAGTGATATAGCTCTCAGCATCCCCACTCAACCGCCATCCATCCCCTCCCGTCCCTACCCATCTCCGCCCCGTACCCTCGCTCGTTAGCGTATAGAAATCTCCAAGGACTCGATGTCATCGAGGTGAAATGGCTTCTGATTGAAAGCATTGGCATCGCGATAGCAAACTGCGAGTGCTGCATTTTTAACGCAGCAAGCGGGAAGAACCTCTAATATAGATATTAGCAGCCGAGGCTGGTTTGCATAGCAAAGTGTAATAGCGTACTCATATACCTGCCTATACATATACTACGTGTGCGTGTGTGCGTTTTTACGTGCGCGTGAGTGTGCGTGTGCATGTGCGTGCACATTCGTACGTGCGCGTGTGTGCGTGCGTTTGTGTCTTTCAGCGTGCGTTCGTGTGTTTGTGCGCGCGTTCGTGTGTTTGGGCGTACGTTCGCGTGTTTGTGCGCGCGTTCGTGTGTTTGTGCGTACGTTCGTGTGTCTGTGCGTACGTTCGTGTGTTTCTGCGTACGTTCTTGTGTTTGTGCGTACGTTCGTGTGTTTGTGCGTGCGCGTTATAGCGCGAGAGTGCATTCTGCTACGGTTAAGTACGGTAAAGTTGAGTTGCGCTGATAATGTATTTGCATCCGGAAGGTAATCGTCCGCGTCCCGTTAACCGCCGGTGACGTCAGAATCGTCATCGTCGCGTTAACCGCCGGTGACGTCAGAATCGTCATCGACACATTAACCGCCGGTGACGTCAGAATCGTCATCGACACGTTAACCGCCGGTGACGTCAGAATCGTCATCGTCACGTTAACCGCCGGTGACGTCAGAATCGTCATCGGCACATTAACCGCCCGTGACGTCAAAATCGTCATCGACACATTAAACGCCGGTGACGTCAGAATCGTCATCGTCACGTTAACCGCCGGTGACGTCTTACTCTGGTTCCTTGTTGAAGCTCACAATTTCCCGGCGGATTTTTTTCTCGCGGCAGAAAGAATTTTATCACTATTACAGGTACCCACAATCATATGTGCTGCCTTTTGTTTTAGGGCTTCGATCGTCTAGGGAAGTTCGAACTCGGGTTTCATATCGTCAAGATGTTACTGAACGTGAGTACAATCATCACTAGTTATGTAGTAATCACACATTAGTCCCTTATTATAAATTAGTATAATTAAATATATTTATATAGTAATATGTCTTTTTTATACACGAGGAAGACGAGGAGCAAGCCTAATCGCACGTTCTGTTGTAACATGCTGTGATTGGTGGAAATTTATATGGTTTGAAGGGGTTAAATTTTTTATTAGATTGAAAGGTTAATTAAGATTCCTAGCAGTTATTCCGCGTGACGTGATCAGGGACAGGGACAGGGCACAGGTCGCCTTTAGCGAGAATCACGAGGTAGCGAACGTGGGCGTAACACTGCCAATAATAGCTTCTTATAATAGCAATAATTCACTAATACAAGACTTCATCTTACCCTGTACATCGACCTCATAGACTTAGCACATCCTACGCTTCGCTAGCGTCAGGATGAATTCACACACACGAGAGGGTGAGCGTTGTAGAAACGTCGGTCGCGTAGCTAAAGCCGCTCCAGCGGTACTGCGCGCGAGGTCTGCTATACATGAATATACGCAGAAACCTGCGACGGCACCGCCGCGCCTTGTATTCCCAGCTGAAACGCCCGGTCGGTTTATTTTCAAATCCGAGGTCTTTTGTGCAATTCCGGCTGCGAGACAACTGCGGGATGAGCCGATGTAACATTACTCAAGGGCAGATGACATATAGCATTGAAGGAGGAGGAGCCGTGACGTCATATCGTGGTTGGACATCGTTCGCCACTCGTTTGTGCCGATTGTAGTAATGAGATATGCATGTTGCACCCGCCTGCAGTGCGGACGAATTCGATTGACGAGTCGTAACCGGAGTCTGTCATTAAACGTCATAGGCGTGAACGCGGATGATGGATCTACTGCGAAGGCGAAGCCCTCCTCAGACACTCCCGGAGTGCAATCGAGTGTGGTATTACAATAGCTATGAATCCGCGCATCTATTATTAACGCGCCGCGAAAGTTATCATCGATCCAAGATGGCCGCTCGAATTTCGGGGAAACGTAGCTACGCGACTGACCGCCCCTCCTTCATGCAGGAATGCTCGGCAGACGACTGCTCTATCGCTAGATTTTCACGAGGAAGAAACGCCGTGTATACGAAAATGTATATGTAAACGTATAATATGAGTGCAACTATATAAAAAATGCACTTTGTTATAATTATTACATCTATAACTTTTACAATACATATTATATATATATATATATATATCAAAAGTAGATAATAGGGAAGATATATATATATATATATGCGCGCGCACATGTGTCTGTGTGGGTGCGTGCGTCACTTATACTATATATTACTCAAAATGGTATAACTATAAAACTTTATAATGGCATATCCTAAGTGCTTTAACCCGCTCTCAATTGTCACGCCACATTCTGTTGCCAATCGAACTTGTTTTTACTTAAAGTATCATTACGAAAGTTTATTCTTTAAAATAAATATATTTAAATCTACATTGTCGGCTAGACTCATATTATTATTATCACATAATCCCAGCGCTTCAGGGGAAAGTGACAAAAGTTTATCATTAAAACCCCCCCAAGTCTGTGGCATAGTCAGACGGGACCTCAGAGAGCGGTTGGCTAGATGACAGCAGCCGAGTCTGCGCGATCGTTCTCTGCCACAATTCTTGGTTTCGTTGCAGATTGCGGCGATCTTCGGCGTCGTGGTCTATTATAAGGATATACGAAGCTGTTCTCACTGCGAAGAGCTGCGAGAACGCATGCTGTGATGCCCGGCCATCAAAAAGACAAACGAAGAAAAGATCACACGAAAACGAAGAAAAGAACTATCATCACATTTCATTCTTACGTTGACCAACCAGTCTCGCGCTGGGATGATAGTGCACGTAAACCGGTGTAAAATGTTAACTGCACCTTTCGTTGTAAGTTAAACACATGTAGTTACCGAATTGTTTCGTAGGCCTTCTCATCTTTGATAACCATTGAATTAAAGGCATACGCAAGCCTTCTCATGGACTATGTATGGCGATGTCACGGCAGGCAGATATAGGCAGCGTGAAGGTTCGTGTGGCTACCTAAACCTATATTTGATTGCTTAATTGTGGCGTTTTCCATTACGTTCTGCAAAGACGAGTCATTCCGGTGAACCGTTCTACTGTTACGGATAAAATGGTAATCGTAATGGTAAAACTAACCATCGCCAGTCCGACGAAGATATTTAACCGGGTGACAGATTTTCTATGATATTTATTGTGTGTAATATAAATATCACACACATATATATATATATAAATATATATGAAAGTATCATCTATACGTGTGACCGCTTTTCGGAGTTCAATAATTATTTTACTGGAGTGGTTAGAGTGCCGTAATTTGTTGACATAGGTAACGACTTTCCAGACGGACAGAGAACGTAACAACCGCTGCCGGTACGCCTTTCTTTGATATAGACCGTGTAAATAGACGATTTGAATGACTCGCACCTAAATTAAATCTAAACGTGAATTTGTATTTCCGTGTTCACCAAATTTCATTTGCCTCGCAGCCATACCCAGCTCTACATCTCCGCAAATACTATTACTGTAAACATAGCACTACAGACCACTTTGCCGCGCATAGAAACGACATAACTGTGGTTTCGACGGACGGACGAAGGGCAGGAATGAATAAGTAATAAACTATCGATGTTTTGTATGCAGTGGGGCGGTGAGTGACATCTAAATGGGTGGCTGCAACTGCTCTCCTCGAATGCGGTCATGATTGCTAGCACGCACGAACGCACACACACGCGTAGGATACACACACACACACGCACGCGCGTCTTTCACCAACTCAACGGTTCTTTGGGGGGGGGGAGAGGGCAGATCTTCAACTATGTAGCTCTAATTGCCTATGGTGGCTTGGTTCGTAGGCAATATTTTATGCCATTTCAACGCAATCTGGACATAAATAAATCTCAACACGTATGTTTTTTATAGAAAAATTGTATAATTTCATTACGCTCTTCACATACAGTTCACACTACTTCCTGCTACCCGAATGCACAGCGACGAAACTGCCTCGGTCGAAACTGGAAAATATTTACAGACATCATAAAAGTGGTGCACTAATGGCCCGATCGATGACAACCGACACACTCGATCACGGTTATGGTGAAAACGACACAAAACTACGAAAATAAAAGCAACATCTGCGAATCGACATATCATGATATTAATGAACCTCTTACGGAAACAACTCTCTCTCAGTTTCTCTCCCTCTCTCTCTCTCTCTCTCTCTCTCTCTCTCTCTCTCTCTCTCTCTCTCTGTGAACACACACACACACACTGGCCGTCTAATTCTCAGTATCAAGCAACGTTAACCTGTGAGAAACAATCACCCTTATTGCAACACACGTAGATTATCCAGATGCTGCCAGCTGTCGTCACGGCAACACCTAATCATCAAAATATCGCGCAAGGTGGAATTCCTAACACACCCTCCCTTCCCCCACAAGAGTACATTGTGCCCTCACCATATGCCAAAGTACAAATATCCTACCGCATTCGGTTCCAGTTACCACCATTCTGACCAAGAGAGATCGTGTGACACCAATGATGACGAGTAACCCTGCATGCATCTTCCGTCGTCCCCCGTACGCGTACGTGACTACACTAACCCTCACTTACGTAGAAACACTGTCGATGAACACGCAGAATGCGGACGCACCTGCTCACCACACTGTCCTAGGCGATAGCAGTTCGCTGGCTGAGCGACTCCTAGCTACTGATGGCTCAGGCACTTCGTAGCGTATAAAAACGGGAACGTGAACCGATGACGTCTCTCCATGAATCCGCCCACCGCACGTGAGTACAGTCGGGCGTCGGGGAGGCTGTGGATCGAGCAGTCGTCGCGGCAACGCAGCGAGGCGTGACGGCACCTCAGAACTTGAGATTGAAGCCGATGCTCTGCTTGGAAACGCCGTGGGTCGCGACGGGGAGATGGAAGCCACCACTGGGAAGATCCTCGCCAGCACCCTGCAAGAGCAGCTCAACATTAGGGTATGCAAGTCTGTTACAGCCTCTCAACATTAGGGTGTGCAAGCCTGCAAGAGCAGCTCAACATTAGGGTCCGCAAGTCTGTTACAGCAGCTCAACATTAGGGTGTGCAAGCCTGCAAGAGCAGCTCAACATTAGGGCGTGCAAGCCTGCAAGAGCAGCTCAACATTAGGGTGTGCAACAGGCTGGACTTAAGCTATAACAACAGGACATTAGTGTCTGCGGGCCTCAACTTACAGCTTCTCATTAGGGTGTTCAAGCCTGTATCAGCACCCCAACATTAAGACATGCAGGTCTGAAATAACAGCTGGACACGATTAGGGTGTGCAAGCCTGTTACAGTGTAACAGAAGCTTAACATCAGGACATGCAGGTCTGCAAGAACAGCTAGACATTAGGGTGTTCAAGCCTGTAACAGAAGCCCAACATTATGACATGCAGGTCTGTAATAACAGCTAGACATTAGGGTGTGCAAGCCTGTAACAGCACCCCCAAAATCAGGACGTGCAGGTCTGTAATAACAGCTGAACATTAGGGTGCACAAGCACGTAATAACAACTGGAATTAGGGTGTGCAAGTCTGTACTAACAGCTCAACATCAGGTTGTGTGAGCCTGTAATAAGCAAGTTTGTAACTATAGTCTGCGCATGCGCGAACTTTGCCACGAATTCTTCCGGGTTAGGTCATTTGTGAAAAACATTTCGTATTTCGACCGCACAGTACGCATACGCATTCATCACGTGTCGTTGCAATGCTACAGTCACACGTACACAGAATACATGTACATATACGTACTGAACCAAGAGCGCACGCCGCACTCGAGATTTCCCCGATTTTTACCACAAATGACCTGGTGACCTGTGACACAACCCCTTGGCTAACTACGAACTCGCATATATAGCAGCTGATGAATAAGTTGCGTAAGCCTGCAATGACAGCTTGCAAATCAGTAAATCTAGAAGAGCTCTTGATCAAACCAATCATCATAAGAAGAGAACAGAATTTAATCCTGAAAGTTCAAGAGCAATCAGAAACCACACCTGATTGAAAGTACACACTAAAACATCACTAAAACAATCACACGATCAAACGATCACACTGAGCATAAAAAAATCACATAGCATGAAACACGGCTCACCAAATCCTTGAATAGTTTGCCACCAGATGGCGGGGGCGGACTGCTGCCCCGCTTGCGTGGCATTTGCTCGCTCTTTGCCGGCCACGTAGGAAACATCGACGGGTCAACTGGAAGCGGCGACTCTTTCAGATAGGCATGTTTCAGTGCCTCGTCCGACGAAATCCGTCGCTTCGGGTCATAGGTCAAGAACCTGTAACGACCACCGTGATTTACTTTCACAACCGATGCGGTACCATTGTGAAAGCTTTCACAATTAATTATAATAATTATTTTTTATTATGATTTTTTGTTTTATAATTTTTAATAATTACTAAATAATTACGTTAGAAATTGTTCATGTTGCAAGAACAAACCAAAGGCAAATGTTTACCTGTTAATCAAGTCGAACCCATGGTCAGACAGGTAAGATCCAAACTTGTTTCGCAGTGCGTTGTAAGGATGATTAGCAAAGGTCACCTTTTTTACTGCTGGCAACTCACTGTAGCCAGGCCAAATCTTTTCAGACGGTGTGCCGAGTTCCTGGGGAATGCAAAAATGTGACCCTAAACAGAAAGCAAGCGCTCTAGAGATCATACAGAAAAGGGGAAACGAAAATGAAGAAATCACATAATAATGAAACGTACTACACAACCAGCTCTACGTTTGTGTACACATTATTATATTATTTTATACCTATAGTTTTGTGATTATTGTGATCCTCCTACCACCTAATTGAACAACCGACTGATCATTTGATCATGTCGTCATGGAACTTCAGTTTGGCTCATCGCTCTATCAATGACAGCCCTCCAACAAACGTGGGTTTTTGTGCAGTCCGTTTAAATCAATTCTGACAACTGGCAAATATTTCGTTTTACGATATAAAAAGGCTTCCATTATCCATTGCCTTACGAGTAAGGATGACATTTGCATCACACAACTGCGTGCAACTTTGTCAAGTCTACCCACCTTGAAGATGCGATTCAGCTGGTCTATCTCCGACTTTCCGGGGAACAGGGGTTTCATTGTGAGGAACTCGGCAAAGATGCAGCCGACACTCCACATGTCGATGGGCGTCGAGTAGGTCTGCCACAGACGGGGGGAAGATGGAAGGTTTAATCGACCACACACAAACATACGCACACACACGCACGCACGCACGCACGCACGCACACACAGACACACTCACACACACACACACACCCCACATGCACGCACGCACAATGGACACACACACACACAAACACACACGTACTGGTCAGCACAACTTGCTTAAAGGAGACAATTTGGAATCCCTATTGCAATATATGTGAAAGAGTTTGATTAAACAAGTATTATGGTTGTTTGACACAAATTTTTTTCGAACGTTTTCTATATGAAAAATGACTTCGAAAATAAATATTTCAGAGCTGTAGGCGCGGCCATTTATTCAACAGGTTACAGTGCCGCCTGTCGAATCGTGACGTCACAGCGCGGTGCCCGGCACATGTGCTTGTTTACAATCAGTATCGCTGTTACTTCTGCCTTAGAAAGATGAGTTTGCCAAATGACGCTAGTTCTAGCAGCAATACAGATAGTGATGAAGAAATATTATTTACTCCCGACTTCAACATTTCATCAGGAATTCAACCATATCGTTTTCAACCCGTCAGAGATTCGGAGATTTCGAGCAGCAGTGCAAATGATGACTCCGATTCAAGCGAGAACGAACACAGGCACTTGGAGCGTTTCAATAAAATATAATGCTAAATAAATACGAAATCGATTTACTACCAAAGTCTTAATGTTTCTCTACTCTCTTTCACCTATTATTGCCGACAATTTCCTGTAAATGCCGTCCAAATGCTCATCTGCAACACACTGTCACATGCTGGCCGCCGCACACTGACACATAAATATATAGACAACTATATATTTATGTGTCAGTGTGCAGCAGCTAGCGTGCGGTGTACTTGTGTGTTGCAGATGAGCACTTGACCGGCATTTACAGGTGATTATAGGCGAAATAGAGTAGAGAAACATTAAGACTGGTAGTAAATACATTTCGTGTTTATTTACCATTATTTTTTTTTATTGAGACGTTCCAAGTGCCTGTAAGAACGAAGTACCTGAAAATGCTGAAATGGCCGACAATGATCGTAGGCAGGACGCAAGTTCTTGGTGTACTTGTGATAGATGCAGGATTTTCCCAAAAGTAGAAGAATGTCAGTGTTGTCAGGAGTCACAGAACGTGAAAAAGAAACTTGTCTGTGATGAAGACAATAGTCCGAAGTACAAATGTATTACGGAGACCCCTCTCTTTCAATGGTTGGTCATTGACCGCGAAGCGCTCCATGTCGCCGGTCTCACGATGTCGACAGCGTGCGGAACACGACTCCCCGACCCATTAACGGACGAGTAAGCAATCTTTTTTATTTATCTGAATCACCTTCACTATTGTCTTGATGGCGAAAAAAACTGGCGAGCGTTTATTTCTCTTGTATTTGCGAGAAATGGACGGGCCATTTACGAACAATGCGTGGGATGAATGGAGTTTACCATGCGCGAATTTCTTTTGTGTGTACACAGTACACAATGCACAGGCACCGCGCTCTGACGTCACAGACCTCTCTCCCGCGCTGTAGAGTTCCACGGTAATGGCTCACCCCATTGTCGACGCGGGGTGTATATATATCGATATCAATAACGCGATTATTATTTGACCTGTGCACATACATATTTCCCCATATATGCAGTAATAAATATCATAGTTTATTCCTGTGCTTAGAACAACGATCCAACGGTTTAACACCATCCATCGTTTTACTGCACACCAGGGATGCAGATAGTGCAGTCGTTCATAGATACGAGGGCAAAGACTCAATACGAACCAAGCAAGTGCTGTTACGTAAATATTAAAAACATATTTACTCTATTTAACATTCAGGTCACAAGTACGACAATTACCATTAGAGATGCATCAGACGGTTTCAAACGGACAAATATGTGTCAACAATGTGACTATATGTACTCATGACTATATTAAAAGCGACGATAAATCCACTGTTAGCAGAAATTACCTTGGTTCCCAGCAGCAGCTCGGGTGCTCTGTACCAGAGTGTTACCACGATTGGCGTGTATTGCTTTAGTGGTGACCCATACTCTCTCGCCAGCCCAAAATCGCCAACCTGTAGAAGGACAAGCAGACTCGTTACATTGCATTTCACCTACGTACTTTACATGACAACAGAGTGGGCGAAGGAGTGGACATGTGAGGGTGAGAATATCCTGTGAGGTGCGGGGCAAGAAGTGATTCAAGTCCCACTGTTGACCTAGTAGAACTTGAAGGACAAAGTGAAAACTTCCTCTGTCAATATTCAGTATTTGCACGGATCAATAATAAAAACCACTGAAAATTTGAACATTTCACAACAACAGGTGTTAAACATTCAAATGACATGGATGGCACCAACTGGTATTACTAGTCGACACTGATACTTACACACAACCGCCTGCTCAGATCCTGTACCTGACACCAACACTTAAACACGATACCAGTAAACAGTAGTGTTACTACCTGCAATGCCACTTACAAGGAAGCTTATCCAAAGATGCCACCTGGTGTAATTAAAAGGCAATGATACTTACGCAAGGGTTACACCCAAAGACACTAGCGCTTACACAAGGCGGCAAGGCTTACACGTGAGCACCACGCAATCACACTACTCTACCTTGAGAATACCCTTGTGACTGAGCAAGAGGTTTGAAGTTTTTAGATCCCTGTGTAGAATCCAGTTGTCGTGTAGGTGGGCGACTGCCCGCAGCAACTGGATCAGCAGCGTCTTCACCTCGCCTGTAACAGTCGAAAACCCGCCCAGCTGTAATGCGGCCGTCGTCTCACCGAGCGTTGCCAGGGTGATCAGCGTCGCGCCGTCAGGTGCCGCGCGTGACCCGACCTCCGCACCTGAAACGACCTCAAAGACTCGGCATGTCAGCGGCATGTGTCGTTACCTGCTGCGCCTGAACCCAGAGGGCTCCGATTGCAACGTGGGAGGCGACATCGCCTCTCGCTTCTCATTCGAGCGTGTGTGTTTTTTTTAATCATTCGAGCACTGGCGTCATTAGTGCTTTCGTGTTCACGGCAAAAAGTCGCGAACGCGCCGATTTATAGCGGGACACGTTGGGGGATGTGAGTGTATCTCGAGCGTGTTTTGAAAGCACACGTCATGAAAAGGCACACATGTCAACGACACTCAATAATCGCTATAATACTGGTGGCTGCCATGGATCAGCTGTCGTAGCGAGTGACGACAACCGGTAGCCATGACGTTGCGAGAGAGCGACACCAGTTGTCATGGAGATGAACAACAGCCAGCAGCGGTTGACTCACCAGCTCTCCTGCAACAAACAGGGCTAGAATGTACACCGTGCGAGGAGCGCGCTCACCTCGAATCAAGCTCGGAGAGACTTCGTTATCGTATCTTCAATGCTACATCAACTGCTACACTGCAAGAGACAGCCTCTCTGCGCATCTAGCATGTGCACACACTACCCTGGCAAACCCTGCCCACAGCGATGCAAAACAGCCGAAGGGACATTTCAGGCATCTGCACAATTTCGAGTCTGCCACTCGGGCTAAGCGCGGCAAATAAAACGCATCTGCAGTGTATCCGTCGACAAAACGGCGACTGCCCGCCAGCGTCGACGAGTCAGAGGCCCCCCCCCCGAATTGCCGCATGGCGCCCCCAGTGGTGGACACGCATGCAGGATGGCGGAGCGGGGTTGACGGGGAGCATTGCGGCAGCAGCAACAGCAGCAGTAGTAGTAGCAGCAACAGCAGCAACAGCAGCAGCAGCAACAGCAGTAACAGCAGCAGCAGCAGCAACAACAGCAGCAGAAGCAGCAGCAGCAACAGCAGCAGCAGCAACAGCAGCAGCAGCAGCAGCAGCAGCAACAGCAGCAGCAGCAGCAGCAACAGCAGCAGCAACGGCAGCAGCAGCAGTAACAGCAGTAGCAACAGCAGCAACAGCAGCAGCAATAGCAGCAGCAGCAGCATCAGCAGCCGCTGGTCGCATGTGAAGGCTACTCACCGACGAGGAACGGCTGCTTCATCGACTCCATCAGGCCCTTCAAGTCGTGCTCGACGTAGTCCATGACGATGTAGATCTTATCCATGTTGCTACCGACGACAATCTCCTGAGCAGCGTCGCAAAAACAACGAACACGTGAGTGTCACCGCTAAAACGTGCAGGTCGCAAGCAACCGCTGCTAGCACGGCGTAGTACGAGTAACACTGGGATGTAACTGGGACGAGTAAGAAGTACAAAGAGACCATAGGCTATACATCATATTTGCTTTGCCTCTAAATGAAACCATGTCTACGCGACATCCGGTACATACTAGATGTGTGACCATAGGCCACATTCTAAAGAAACTACTACTAAGTGAGACCGAGTAGACATGAGCTTCAGCATGTTTACCAGCCTGCTAATGAAAGGTTTGCCATGAGAGACCGACGATCATGGCCACATAACATCAAGAGCTAATAATACCTAGAGTGTACAAAGGAAAAACGGGAAAATAGTGCTATTTCACGACAACATTATTCTACTTTGCCTGCGAGTCTATATATTTGCCTTATAGTATTGCATTAAGCAGAATTCTTTGCTCTCTAAAACAAGACCAACCGCTTGTCAATACGATACTCCTAGGCTGAGATATTGGCTCCTAAACCTCCCCTCCCACATGCCTCACGCCGCCTCGCATCCAGCTTATTCACCAACCTACACGCCCCTAAGCATTTTGGCTATCGGTTTCCGTCACCGCTTGGAGCGCTGATAATTGATGTCACATGCCCAAATTTGGTACTCTTACTACACCATATAGTAACTGAGCTGCGTTGTAGACACTTAATTGAGAAAACATTGCCGGCTCCATCATGACGGGCATTAGCCGTGCTAGGAAAGATAATGGAAGATAAGGGCATAGGCGATGCCCCCGAAAGTCACCTATGATAACCGAAACGCCGTTCATTCATAAAGTTATCGCGGAAAAACCGAACTTTGACGAAGCAATGCTTAGGGGGGTTAAGGTTGGTGAATAAGCTGGATGCGAGGCGGCGTGAGGCATGTGGGAGGGGAGGTTTAGAAACCAATATCTCAGCCTAGGAGTATCGTATTGACAAGCGGTTGGTCTTGTTTTAGAGAGCAAAGAATTCTGCTTAATGCTTGTTGCTTGATAACATCAACCAATAGCCAGATAACAACCTTGCCACCCCTATTACTCCAGGTGCTACCACCACACAAAATCATAGACCCTTCGGAATTTCCAGTGAGACGCGCCGCAGTGGATCTATCGATAAATCCCACAGGATACGTCACAGTGGATTTATCGATAAATCTCACAGGAAGTGCTGCACAGTGGATCTATCGATAAATCCCACAGGATATGTCACAGTGGATTTATCGATAAATCTCACAGGAAGTGCTGCACAGTGGATCTATCGATAAATCCCACAGGATATGTCACAGTGGATCCATCGATAAATCCCACAGGATATGTCACAGTGGATTTATCGATAAATCTCACAGGAAGTGCTGCACAGTGGATCCATCAATAAATCCCACAGGATATGTCACAGTGGATTTATCGATAAATCTCACAGGAAGTGCTGCACAGTAGATCTATCGATATAGCCCACAGCATATGTC